CCCCAAACTTTGACCACATGACAGCCGGCGTGTGTTGTGAGCGACGCCTCACTTTTTGACCCTGGATTTCACAAGCCCTATTTGGAGTGTAAGAGTCATTCGCTTCCTGTAGCTGCCTGAAAGGGCTTATTAATTCCTTGTACAAATCCCTGAATTTCTGTGTGACTGTAAAGCATATTTGGTATTGCATGCGTCCCACAGCAACTCGGGTGAGTGTGCATGGGGGCCATCTTTTTTGCCTGTGTGTGTGTGTGTGTGTGTGTGTGTGTGTGTGTGTGTGTGTGTGTGTGCGTGCACAAGAAATAAAGAGTTTGCACTAAGCCTGCTAGGTGATGCATGGGGATTACTACTCACAGCCACCCTCAAGGCTTATCCCTCTGCTTGCTGGAGGTTCACGTTTATTTAAATAGCCTTCTAATGACTTGCAGAGGTTTTAGGCAAGGATATGTGCCAAAACAGAGACTATAAAATAATCAGCTTCCTGGAGCCAGGAGCTCCCCACTGTTTTGGGAATGCAGCCGCCGGCTATGACAGTTGTTGGTCAGCATCTGAGCTTTGTCAAATGGGGTCTGATCTGCTCAGAACGCTATAGGAGATGTCTGAGAAAGAGCGCCGGGTTCACAAAAATGGCTGACAAGTAGAAGCAGGAGGAAAAAAAGGTTTGCTGTGGTGAGAACACAGCGTGGCACTTAAGGCGCATACAGTACCATGTACTTGTGATGCTGTGAATCTCTCTGCCTTTTTTGCCAATAAGAGTGAAACAGCATAAAAGGAACCATCCATAAAAATGGTTTGAACTGTGTCAGATCAGCATTTTCAACAATCTTTCATAAACCTGGAAAAAAGTGTGTCAGGCAGCAAAGATCTATCAAACTGATGGATTCGTGCTTTGCCTGTGCTCGCTGAGCCAAATACATCACATACAGATTCTGATAGCACAGACGTACCACATAAGGCAAAAGCAATGTATATCATTCTTTATCACCAGTGGAAATATCTATCATAATATATACACACACACACACTGACATATACCCTCAGCCAAAATAAACTCACCCAGAGGTACACAGTAGCGCTGCAAAAAGCCACACACACACACACACACACACACACACACACACACACACACACACACACACACACACACACACACACACACACACACACACACACAGCTGAGCATTAGACACATGTTGTAAGTTTTAATGAGCCGAGTGGGTCTCCGTCTCTGCAGGGTGGCAGAAAGTCATCAGCGGAGTTCAGCTCCTCACTGTCTGCTCCAGAGACCAGCGTTAGTCACGCAGCATCACACCTAACTTACTTCCTCACACATCCTCAGACTCCTGACTCCCGCTCGCTCATTCTCACACCTCCAACTCTCTTTTCTCTCGACTTGTCTCCTCGCGCTTGCGACACTCTGCTTCCCTTCCCCGCCGCAGACCTGACAAACGCTCGATGTACATCTCTGTGCTGTTCATTCTCTCACCCTCTGTTCTGTTACACCTCCTTTGACTTCATGCTGCCTCCCTCCTTAGTTTGCTTTTTTCCCCTCCACTCTACTTCTTTTGCTGTTCATGTTCTCCGCTTTCTCCATTTCTCCGGCTCATTATCTGAGCACAGCTTCGATGACAAAAGGAGGCTGGGTTTAAATGTCACACCTGGCTGTTACATTTCATGCTCCACATTCATGCTGACATGTCAAGGTAACCAATCAATGTTACCACTGGAATAATGAAGATCATGACACTTCCTGTAAAGGTGGGTGATGTGTCAAGGTACAGCAGATTGCTGATTAGAGAGTAATAAGACAGCTCAGTAGAATAAGACAAGGTTTTAGGACGTATGATAAGATGGAGCTGAAAATCAAATAAATGCTCCATGTGTGAAGCGTAGGCCAAATGCCTGAAACATTGAACATGTTTCTACTCTTCCTCCTCCCTGGATTCACCACAGGGTCACTATGACCCAGTGTGAGCAAGTTGGGTTTAGTCACACAGAAATATTTCTCAGCTCAAGCACTGCTGCGTTTATAGCAAAGCTCTCAAAACAAACACTATATTAATCAGCAGTTTCATCACTCCCTAGTCAAAGGTCAAGTCAGAAACCACACCGCACTCTTCATACTGAACACTGAGCTCCTCTTCCTGAGAACACAACTTGGATTAATAAACAACCATCTTAGTCTCACATATCTGAGGGGCACCAGCAAAGATATTTGTTTTTCATCACTGTGTAGGAGTCGTCAAGTCACGCTGGCAGGGAAATAATATTATTAATGGAGGCCAAATTGAATTAAAGCATGGATTTGACCGTGGGTTTCCTCAATGTCATGGAGTGACATACAGATTCCTCTATCTGCCTCCTACACACACACACACACACACACACACACACACACACACACACACACACACACACACACACACACACACACACACACACACACACACACACGGACGGACAAACTCACAAATACAAATAAATCCCTTTGCTGGGAATGAGGTCCCTCAATCTCCACAAACAATCAGATAATCCTTCAGGAATCCTTCACTTCTCTGGTCTCTCTATCACCAATGGAGAGAGACAGACGAAGAAAGGCAGGAATACACCCACTCATAACCACACACACACAAACACACACACATACAATCAATTCACAGTAGCTGTGTTTATCCTAAAATAGAGTATACTCATCTTAAGCAGCTCAGGTGGCGTCACTGAGTTTACCATATAAATGACCTGCCTGTCTGTCGAAAGATAACACTAACTCTGTTGACTATAAGGAAGTGCTATAAAGTGTTTTGTGTGAGCTTGAATGCGCCGCCAAACCCTGCTTGTCTGAACAGTGTGTGTGTGT